TCACTCACACACTCACTCACACACACACACACACACACACACACAATAATAAATTAATAAAACAATTAAAATAAATAATTGAAAAAAAAACAATTAAAAAAAAATAAATAACAATCATGATTAAATAAAAAAAAGAAATGATAAAAAATAAGATACAACTTAAAAAATCAACAAAACAACAAAATAAAACAAAACTGCTGTTGTGGGAAACAAACAAACAAACAAACAAACAAAAACAAATAAATAAATACAAGTAAAAAAAAAATCACACTGAATCAAAGCTTTTGGACAGGTAAATCTGATTTAACCAGGAATAAGTGTCAATAAACAAAACAGGTTTGGTGTGACGTCTTGAATCACTAACACAGATTAAGATGGTGATTTAGCACAGAAAACGTCTTCCTCAGAGAGAGACAGAGAGACACGTGTCTGTCTGTCATGACCGTGATCACACGTGTGTGAGTGTGTTATGCGAGTATGTGTGTGTGTCTCACCTGAAGGGAAGCGCTCTAGCACGGGCAGATTGTCCACCTGTAGTGTGGAGTTCCCGCCGCTCCGTGTGAATCTGACCACATGATACTTCCCGTCGCTGACCATCACGCCGCTCTCCTCGATGACGATGTCGTCCGTCCCCACGTTAAAGATCACGCCGACCCTCCCGCGCTCCTGACACACACACACACACACACACACACAGAGACGCGGTCAGTGGCCAGAACTCATCACTGACTCTCACTGCAGAGCAGTGGTGGACGAAGTACACAAATCAAGTACTTGAGTAAAAGTATAGATACGTATAATAAACTATTACTCCAGTAAAAGTGCTCAGTTTTCAATTTTACTCGAGTGAAAGTACAAAAGTACTTGATTTTTTATGTACTTAAGTAAAAAGTACTGATAGATGAATATTTATTTTACAGTTTTATATAGGCTACTTTTATCATTTAATTTTATATTAGCATATATTTTTTTATAATCCTATTGCTCAAAATACCTGGGATTTTACCAAAATAACCAATAAGGAAATAATGAATATAATAAGGAAAATATCATTATATTTTCATAATGATTTTTTTCTTCTCAAACCTTGTCTGTGGTGTAAAAACACCCCTGGCCAAATGCCCCCAGAGGACATCACTTCCCACTTTGATAATTACTGTAGTTACCATGTTCTGAATCATTTGAATCAGTGAGTTGTCGACTCGAGAACAGCTGCAATCGGTTCATTCTACTTCGTCAATGAATCGTTTGGTGCGATTTGCGAACCGATTTTAAAATGTTAATTGAAAAGAATCAGTTCGTTCTTGAATCAGACACCGCTTCTGCGTCTCGGAGCACGTGATATATTATAAGGAGTAACGATATGTTTTATGAAATGTAGTGAAGTAAAAAGTACGATCTTATGCTTTGGAATTTAGTGAAGTAAAAGTAAAAGTTACTCAAAATAAAACTACTCCAGTAAAGTACAGATACTTGAAAAATGTACTTAAGTACAGTAACGAAGTAAAACTACTCCGTTACAGTCCACCACTGCTGCAGAGACACTGCAAAGATCAAACTAATTTCTATCAGACACACTGAAGTTCAGCCAGTCGAAGATGGAAAAATGAAAATGGAAAGAGAGTCACTGTTATGAATATCTTGTGGAAGTAAATTCCACTGATAAGGAGCAGCATAGCTAAAGGCCAGATTACCCATGGAAACCAGACGTGTACGAGGAAGAACTAAAGATAATGTAGACAATGATCTAAGAGTTCAAGAGGGAGTGTATGTTAGGAGTAAGTCAGATAAGTAAGAAGGAGCCAAGTTATGTAATGCCTTATAAACAATAAGCACAATTTTGAATTCAAAACGCTGTTTAACAGGAAGCCAGTGCAGTTGTTGAAGAACAGGAGATATGTGTTCCATAGTAGGAGTTCGTGTAATTATTCTGCACTAACTATAACTTGTGCAAAAATTTAGTAGGAAGACCGTAAAAAATGAGCATTACAAAAGTCAATTCGTGAAGTGACAAGAGCATGGACCATAATAGCAGTGCTCCTTGTTATGAGGGCTGGGTGGAGGCAATTAATATTGCGTATATGATAATAAGACATCCAAGTAACCTTGTTGATATGTGCTTCAAAAGACAGAGTATTGTCCAGGATAACACCCAAGCTCTTTCAAGAGGGTCTGGCTGCAGCCTCGCACTTGCACTCTCAGGCTTGCATCCTCAGACACTTGCGCTTCCGCTAGCAACGTCACTTGCAGGCTTTATTTTTTAAATTTTTTTCTATTTATTGATTACTTTTTGTTTGAGTCTCTCAACATTTTACAACAGTAGCCAGGTGGTGAAGACAAGAAAAAAGAAACTAAGTCACTTGCAATCGCCACTTGCACTCTCTGACACCTGCGACGTCACTTGCAATCGACACAAATCCTGCATGTTGCCAATGGAGACAAGACACTGTGGTGGTGATTAAACGATTACAAAAGCGCAAGTGTCTGAGAATGCAAGCCTGAGAATGCACGTCTGAGAGTGCAAGTGCGAGGCTGCAGCCAAACCCTTCTCAGCTCTTTACCTGTGTTGAGGAAGTGATTATAGGACCATTGATACACATAGAAAAATCACTGGTATTCGACAAATTATTTTTTGTACCAACAAGAAGAATTTCTGTTTTACTACTGTTAAGTTTAAGACAATCGCTTGAAAACCAAGCTTTAACTTCAGACAAACAGAAAGAGAAGATGGAGGAAGTTTAGAGGTAGGTTTTGAAGACAGCTGGGTGTCATCGGTGTAACAATGAAAATGTATACCGTATTCCCTGATAATGTTTCCAAGGGGCAGTAGATATATGATAAATAATAAAGGGCCCAGAACTGAACCCTGTGGGACACCTGTAGTAATATGTGATGACTTAGATTTAAACTGACCTAGTTGAACAAATTGAGTATGACCCGAAAGATAGGATGTGAACCAAGCCAGAGAAGTACCTACAATTCCAATAGACTGCAATCTAATATAATTTTATGGGAAATGTTGTCGAACGCTGAAGTTAGATAAAAAAGAATTAAGATAGATAAAAGTCCTGAGTCAGCCACTACCAATAAATCATTAGAAATCTTGACAAGGGCAGTCTCAGTACTACGACAGGAACGAAAACCTCAGGTCAATTGCGACGGACCCCCCTGCCTCTGCTCCTGCTTCTCCTGTCTCTTTGGCTCAAGCAGAATATCTCCACTCTCGGATTATTATCCGGCCGCTCCGTGAGGGCGCAAATACTGCCAACCTCTGTCCTCTGAGCAAAGCATCTGCTTCGCGCACCATTCTACGCTTCCCAAAAATTGCGCTGATAAACGCTCGCTCTCTGGTGAACAAGACACATCCTGAACGATTTTACCACTGCTCACGACCTGGATTTTCTGTTTATCACCGAGAACTGGGTGAAGGTAGGGGACCTCAGTCCATATTCTGAACTTGTTCCAGCCAACTATCACTTTTACAATGCTCCGCGATCATCAGGCAGAGGCGGCAGGCTAGCTATCATTGCTAAAGATTCATTCAGACCTCGATGCCGACTGTTATCTTCCGCCACCTTCACGAGTTTTGAAGCTGAGATTTTACTTCTGAACTGGTCTGAACCTGTGGTCTTAGCTCTGATCTATTGGCCACCACATCTAATCAAAAGACTTCATAGTAGAGTTTTCAGAGTTTGTAGGGTATTTGATCATTAAACACGATCGCATCCTTATTTTAGGTGACATTAATGTCCATGTAGTTGCCCCTGCAGTGGGTTAATCATCCTACACATACTCATGGACACATTTTGGACCTAATTTTGTCACATGGTCTATCTGTAACTGACGTTGAAGTCGTTGATTCTGTCATCTCTGATCATTTTCCTGTTTTATTTAAATTGTCCCTCCCACTGCCTTCTCTTAAACCTGCCTCTGATGGTAGTCAAGTCAGTGAATATTTGCTTTATTGTCAATTCTTCCACATGTACAGCACATACACACGCACCATACCACACAGTGATGCAGCTCGTCAGAATGCTCTCGATAAACGGTACACAAGCCCGTGAATATTTGTCTCATTTTTGTGAGGATTTTGTCAAGATCTATAATGAGGTCAACCCTCTTTTATCATTAGAGTCTTTATTATCTGATCTTGATGCTGAAAATCATTTTATTTTTTTAAATACTGCATGGACAGATATTTTAAACCTTACAGCTCCTTTTAAGCTCTTTAAGCCAAAATCTACATCTAAATAGGAGCCATGGGTTGATCATAGTATTCGTTCCTTGCAGGACAGCAGAAAGGAAGTGGAAAAAGAACAAATTACAGATTTCTTATGAGATCTTAAAGAATTGCCTATCATCATATCAGTATGCTGTTAAGAAAGCCAAGGCTTCCTATTTTTCTAAACTAATTGAAAAACATCACCACACCCCAAAAGCTCTTTTTTCTGTTATCAACTCCATTCTAAACCCCCCTGTAAATTCTCTTCACTACCCGTCTTTGGCACTTTGTGAGGATTTCTCTAGTTAATTTGGCAATAAAGCTTCAAGTTTGAGGGCCCAGTTTCTGGTCTCCGATAAGGAGATGACTTCACCTGTCCTGTGGACTTCTTTCAATCCTGTCTGATGCTGAAAATCATTTTATCGTTTTAAATACTGCATGGACAGATATTTTAAACCTTACAGCTCCTTTAAAGCTCTTTAAGCCAAAATCTACATCTAAATCAGAGCCATGGGTTGATCATAGTATTCGTTCCTTGCAGGACAGCAGAAAGGAAGTGGAAAAAAGACAAATTACAGATTTCTTATGAGATCTTAAAGAATTGCCTATCGTCATATCAGAATGCTGTTAAGAAAGCCAAGGCTTCCTATTTTTCTAAACTGATTAAGAAACATCACCACACCCCAAAATCTCTTTTTTCTGTTATCAACTCCGTTCTAACGCCCCCTGTAAATTCTCTTCACTACCCGTCTTTGGCACTTTGTGAGGATTTCTCTAGTTATTTTGGCAATAAAGCTTCAAGTTTGAGGGCCCAGTTTCTGGTCTCCGATCAGGAAATACCTACAGAGATGACTTCACCTGTCCTGTGGGCTTCCTTCAATCCTGTCTCCCTACATTCTGTAAAGGAAGTAATGCTTAAACTTAAACCCTCCTTTAGTTCGCATGACACTGTACATCCTTACTATTTGAGACAAATATTTGACACTGTCGGCCCTGGGCTGGTGTCGCTATTTAACAAATCTTTGCTTGAAGGAGCTGTTCCTTCTAGTTTGAAAATTGCCACGGTTACACCTGTAATAAAGAAACCCTCACTTGATGCCTCTATTTCATCAAAATAGAGGCATCAAGTGAACCAAAATAGCCATTTATTTCCAAGATATTGGAAAAAATTGTGTTTTTACAGCTCCAGACCTTCCTGACTGACAATCATATTTTTGAGAAGTTTCAGTCGGGGTTTAAATCACTGCACAGCACAGAAACCTCTCTTGTAAGAGTTCTTAATGATATTTATATGGCAACAGATTAGGGGGACTCTGCCATTTTAGTAATGTTAGACCTGTCTTCTGCTTTTGATACCGTCGATCATGCAATCCTTATCTCTCGGCTGGAGTATTGCGTTGGGCTAGGGGGGGCTGTTTTAAGTTGGTTTAAATCTTTTTTTAAC